TTTCTCCTTTTTAAAACTTTCGTATATAATTCGGCATTAAGGATTAGTTTCAAGGTATTTCAATTCTATGTCATGATGATCATGATGTATCTAATAATATTTTTACTAGGATAAAGGTAACTTAAAGACGTACCTAGTACCATATTTATTCTGTAATAATTCATTAGTAGCTTAAGAATTTTATTTAAACTGTTTAAAAGACTTAAGTTTTTGCTGTTTATTACCAAAAATGTAATTAGCATATTATTAGTAATAAACTATAATGCAAAGAAATAGAAAATAACTTGTGTTCGATGTGTTTAACAGGAAAATCATCGTCCTTGGCCCTCGTGTTGGGTACACGTGGACTCATCTTGGTTGTATTTCTATATTACGCTTATACGATCATGTATACTTGGTAGTCATGGAAAATTTTAGTCCTATTTTCGGTACGGTGAATAGAATTGAATCTGATGTTTTTTGTGAATTAAGTGAAGCGTTCGATGAATGTAAACACTACGATTTCGATTGAATGTCACATGTTATTTGATGTGTAGTAAAATTTTGTGCAAATATAAATATGCTCAGGGGGCTTACTCTTGTCCAATTCCGATCGATCGACATTGACAGTGTGAAAATTCGTACTCTTGAGTTGCAACACTAGCGCCCATTGCATCCGTATTGCGTGGATATTGAATGAACTAAATGGTATTGAGTTTGGCTTTATATTCCGTACTTTGAATGCTATTTCAACAGTTACGATAGGGGTTGTATAGTTTTGACATTGAATAATTATTGAGATTTTATTGGATTGACATTGACATTGGTTTCAAGAGTAATCACCTAGGTCTTTACGCTCGACTGATATTTCTCGACTGCTAAAAAAAATTATGTTCTTATGAGGAGTTTTTCTCTAAAATTTTTACGTCATATTTTTTCCTACAATGGATTTTGAAAGGGTTTAGTTTAAAAAGACGAAAAGACTATATTTACTTATGAGAACAGTCATCCTAAAATACAGTTAACTCAAGCAGACGTTTATTTTGTAAATTGCCTATATTTTCACACTTTTCAACGTCATTAGAATCGCTAATTACGTAAACGCTAATTAGCAAGTAATTTAATTGCCAGCACATTTACACTGAGAGTTAAGCGCACTATTTAAATTGCCTATATCGGCTGTAATCTGCATAAGTAATTAACGCAGATTATATTCATTAATTAATTCAAATGTGCACTATTTTCCCACAGCAATGCGTGATAGTATAGCTGCTTTATTATAGGTTTAGGACTTTGTCTTCATTTTTAGCCCTTTAAATATGGTATATAAATTTAAATCATTAGTTACCATCATCATTATCAATGATATTGTACTAATACTTATCTAATAAAAATCTCAGTAGTAGCACGGAGTCTGGAATTGTGCCCGGTATATGGCAATAGACTCACCCTCTATTACATAGGCCTCATAACATAAATAGTGAAAACTGGGTGTTACATCGTACCACTGTACTGCCACTTTAATACCACTGCATTATGTGCCGTAATTTGCACCTCTGCCTACCCCTGCAGGGTTCAAAGGCGTGATGTTATGTTATGTTATCTAATGCGGTTTTATAGAATATATGGTACATTTTTTTTTTCAACAAACTTCTGTTTTATGGTATATACTCTGGGTATTTACCAGATTCCACTTATTTATCAGTAGGTATTTCGGTCGAATATTATGTAGCTCACTAGCGACATAATGCAATTTGTTTGCACTGAATATCCTTATAGACACATGGTACTAACATAGGAAACTTTATTTTCAAAACAACGTAATAACTATTCATCCAATTATATCCGTCATTTTCAATTATAACGCTAATCATTCAAGTACCTTGTGTCAATTTCAATTAGGGAAAAGTAAATGTTTATCTTTGCGAGCTCAATTAACATCATGCTGCCACAACGGCTAGGACAGCCCTCTATTGCATTTAATGTACCTACCATTACTGAAACTATTGCCACTACAAGTAGTCAACGCAGGAATTGATGTCATCGGTCTGATGTGAACGAGATAAGAGGGTCTCTAATAGTTGTACTTCTAGTAACTGTTATTGCTCGGATTGTTTCGACAATCTTGTTTTTATTGTTTATTAGAATGATATTGATATTGTTTGCGGTATTGTTGAAAGTTTGTCGTAAAATGATTCGATTATGTTGTTTTGTATTAAGTAAATTAATAATAGAGCTTACCTTAATTCATTAAAATTAATACTACCAATAAATTCAATAAAACTATACACATACCACGCCTTTTATGGCTGAAGGGGTAGGCATAGGTGCACTTTACTGCATTAATACTATTATAAAATGTAACACCTACTTGTCACTATTTATGTTATGAGTCCCATGTAATAGGGGTGAGCCTATTGCCATATACCGAGCACAATTCCAAACACTATGCTATTTCTGAGAATTTTTAACAACCCCCAGTATTAATTTGCCCGACACAGGAATTTAACCCGAGACCCCCTTGCGATCACTCAGCCAACGAGGCAGTTAAAACTATAGAATGTTATTAAATGAACGTAACACTAAAATAGTCTGATGAATGACAATAAAAGAGTGTATATATCATCTCTTCATATTGTATAATGAAAAGGAAATGAGAAACGACTCAAGAACACGCACTACCAAAAATTAATTAAGAAAACAAATAAGGATGTCACATTTTGTTTCTCAATGTCGACCACCGTTATACAGCATTCTTAGTAGGGTTGTGCACTTAATAAAGTAGCTGAAGGTTCCTTCTGGCCTTAAATGAACAGTCAAAAGGCAAGGAAGGATCATTTAGAGGCACGTACGCCAAAATCAATGGATATCACGTTCGATGTCAGAAAGAGTAAAAGGCCACCGGTATATAAAATCGGTAACGTTATTACTAAGGCACAAGACGTTAAACTAATTATTGGAATACGTATTGGAGGAAATGTTTCTCTCTGATACTTTGGTATAAGGTAATGAAATTAGGTGCTAGTTCTAAGTTTTATTTGTGAGTAGAATAATTAACATAACATCACGCCTTGTATAGGGGTAGGCGGAGGTGCACATTACGGCAGTTAATGCCACTATACAATGTAACACCCACTTTTATGTTGAGTCCCATGTAATGGGGGGTGAGCCTATTGCCATATACCGGGCGCTACAGACTCTGTGCTACTACTAAGATTTTTTAAACCCAGAAATTTTTTCCCGACCCGGGAATAGAACCCGTGAACCCTTGCCCGGCAGTCGCATTTGCGACCATTCGGCCAACGAGGCAGTCGATAAGAATAATTATGATACTGATATAAGAAGTCAAGGAAAAATCTCAAATAATCTAAGATCTATATCTGCACCTACATTAATTAGAAATAGGTTAGCGGTTTTGCAGTTTAATCTCAACAAACAATCTCACTCTCGCATTCAAATCACTAGTTAGAATATCTGATGAATGAATTAGTTGTGAAAACAGGATTTACTCGAATATAATTTATGAAAAAAAAAACTAATTTAAAAGTATTTATATAGAACTTGTTAGAACTAATGGCTTTGGCAGAAGGTAAGGCAATTATTAAATGTAATTACTTCGAAACTTAATTCTGGAATTTCTATTTTATCTGGTTATTTTTCAATCGGACTTGCAGACTCATGTGTGTTGGGAACAGCTGTCGGCAAAGTTAGATCTCCCCAGACAAAAGTAAATACTAACTGCTGTAAAACATATATCGGTATATGAAACCTGATTGGTTTTTTTAATGTTAAGATCTGTAATTTTGAGGCAATAATTGATTGAATTCGTGTGTTGAAGAAATTGAATTGACTTTGAATTTGTTATGAACATATTTGTTGTGAACATTATTATTACTTTAGCTTTTATTCATTTCATTTATCATTATGTGTATCTTTTTTCCTTCAGAAGTGCCTCATTTGTTATATGGACACATCTAAACTGTAGAAAAGTAAATTTTGTACATTTAACAACAGCTGGAAGATGTCCACTGCTGCTCCCCCTTGCATTGTATTGTAATTTAGTACATTGAAAATATAAAAAAAATATTGAAGGGTATTATTGGATAGACACCGAACACAAAAATGTGATTAAAAAAATGTTTGTCTGTCGGTCTGTTTATTCACGCATCACGACTTCAACTACTGGTTCGATTACGATGAAACTTGGTATATAATAATAACTGGTCCATATGTTGCAGGTATAAAGATTTTGGTTTTCAACGTCCGAAATACGTAGATTGAATATCACAATCACCAAAAGCACGTGTACTATGAGTACGCCATTGCCAACTTTTTCCGCGTATAAGTGGTCTGATATGATGATGACGTATCATTTTTCTGTATATACGTTTGAATGTATGCAAACAGTGAGCTCTTGTAGTTTCTATTATTATTCAAAGGATCTCATTGACATCGCTCGGGAATACCTTGTTACTATTCCTGTATCACTTTGAAGAGGTTGTTATATTTCCAAGGTCTAATGCAGATATGCTGTTTATAGTTCTTCTATTACTAACATAATTATGACGTTGGCCTTCGATATTTTGTTCAATTCATGCTTTTTCTAACACTGTCATTAAGATCATCGCTTTATCACTGCCTTAAATATTTTTATTTTAAGTTCTGGAATTATCTTTTTCTATGTCAAAGTGTTCTTTAAAGTGGGTGTTACATTGTTCAGTGGCATAATGTGCACCTGTTATGTTATGAATTTTGACTTTGAATCTTATCTAGTTTCCTTACTATCCTAAGCTGATTCAAAATTAAGTTTAAGCCAAACATTGTCAACATGCATAATGTGGTTGGAAAAATGAATAAAGCAAAACACTCTTTTTAGCAACAATGCACCATATTAAATTATGTTGTACGGTTTTCTCACGTAATTGATTGACAATTTAACTCGACTAGTTTCAAGCATAGACAGGGACCCATATTTTTAAATATCGAATATCATAATTGAATGTCGTTCTGTATTGTTTTAGGCCTACAGTTGCGGAGCATAGAGGAGCCAGCGGGAGGCGCGGGCGGCGGCATGCCCGCGCCTTCCTGCTATGATGCTGAATGCGCGCGCACGGAAGCTTGGCTCGACGAGAACCAGGAGTTCGTGCATGATTATTTCTTAAGGTAAGAATAGAGCTTGATTTTCTGTTTACGTCATTATCTCCTGGTCTACTGGAACATGGTATACGCAAACTGCAATGTATTTATAGAGGTAGATGAGAAGTTAATCTAGTTTAGTGGATGTAGTCGGATGAAATAGTGGAGTCTTTTTACATATAAATAAATAAGTGTGATTTACATCATTTATAGTTGTTTTCCTACTTTTGACATTGTAATTACCATTTATATTATGTTAGTCACTGTAATATTCAGTAATAATAATTGTACAGGTAAATTAATAATAACCAGAAGCGAACTAGCTCTTAACCGTTAATTTTAATTGTACATTAAACATAAAGTGCTGTACTTACTATACTAAAGTCAGTTTAGGGGTGCCAATGCAATTAGTGGGAACGCTAAAAGCATAGGTTATCTAATACATAGTTTGTTACCTAATATTCTACTACCTACAACTAGAATTTAAGGGTGGAATTGGAATCTGCAACGAAAATTGAACTTAAAATATTGTATTATAAAATATAATCTCCTGTGGTGGTTTCCTCCTTATGTTATGCATAATATATAAAATTGATTAAACTTTTGTTACGATGACTCTTAGTCAGTGTGGTCTTCATATGCTTTAGAAAATGGGGAAAATCCGATTGACTTATCACGGGTTTATTTGTGACTGTCCTTTTACGTGGGTAACAAAGCGTTATGTTAACGAATCATCATTACACAGATACGTGTGTTATTGTGTACTTTTTGATTCACCCACCTCACTTAATTCGATTCAAATCTGAATGGTGTGTGACATAACGACACATTCATTATGCATTCAGTCATTCAGTCTACTTACTATCACTGTTTTGATTGAAATGTAGGTCCATTGTACACAATATCATTACAAAAGCCATTCACATTAATTTACGCGATCCTACATGTGGGGTATTTGTTAAAACGTTGCCTAAATGTGCTTTATTCAGGTCATATAAAGTCGTACACAATGGCTAATTCAAACGGCCGGCTGTGCTGCACGCTCGCCGCCCGAAATGCGAATTACTAGTGAAATCTGGCTTTAGGAGATTCGCTAAATTATATTTTATGAGGTTTGTTTATAAACGTAGCTAAGTAATGTTTAAATGTGATTTTTAAATGGGGTGAAATAAGAAACATCACGCCTTTTTATCCCCGAAGAGGTAGGCAGAGGTGCACACAGAAGTTACACCCACTTTTCACTATTTATGTTACGAGTCCCATGTAATAGGGAGTGAGCCTATTGCCATATACCGGGCACATTTCCAGACTCCGTGCTACTACTGATTTTTTTTTAAATCCCAGTAATACTTAGCTCGTTTTTTTTGTTTGTTCAATAGAAGATGAGTAAATCGGACTTACGCTACTTACTCTATAGAAAAAGTAATCAAAAAGAATTTCGGTTTTTCTATGAAATTATACAAAGTATTGAGCTACTTACTGTATCGAAAAAGTAATCAATGAGAATTTCGGATTTTTCTATGAAATTATACTAAGTACTGAACGGCATAGTACACTTTTTCATAAGCAAACTAAAAAGAAAACCAGTTAAAGACATAATAACCAAAATTCGATTAAACAATCGTCTAAATACTGCAGACAATTTTGACACCAAAACGCTCAATAACACTTTAAACTCGATCAACAAACAGCATTTAATGAGGTTATTTTACAGATTCGTCTGAGTGGCTACCGGTAGGTATGTACCACGTAAATTTCATATTATTAATATAAATGATATTGCATATAACTGGGTCTGATATTATGAGTCATACAACGTTCAGTGCTTAAGGCTCCATTCACACTTGCGTCGAACGTGTCTTGAAAGCAAGGATAGAATTAGGTTTTAATTAGAGAATACGTAGTGGACATGCTGCAAGTGAATATTACATTAGGATATTATAGAGAACTACATAACATCATGCCTTTTCTTTTCACTATTTATGTTATTAGTCCCATGTAATAAGGGGTGAGCCTATTCCCATATACCGGACACAATTCTAGACTCCGTGCTACTTCTGAGATTTTTTTTAAAAACCCAGTAATACTTTGACCGACCCGGGAATCGATTCTATTCCCGGGTCGGGCTAAGATTACTGGCATAATGTGCACCACTGCCTACCCCTTCGGGGATAAAAGGCGTGATGTTATGTATAAAACGCTTAACATGTTTTTCATAGAATGCTAACTATGGGATAGTTTTTCATAGTGCTGTTTCAGTGTCAATATTTTTTAGAGTGCGGAGTGTGTAGAATTATTATGTTATGTTTCATCTCTTTTTCTTAGGCACCTATCAAAATGAGATAAAAAATAACATTGTAACTGTTATTACGTAAAAGAGTAAGCAGATATGTTATTGTAGTAGGAGTTTTTACCAATTATCTGGTATATAAAATGTATCAATAGAATCGAAAAACTCAATAATATTGTGGATATGAACGGAGCCTTAATCATATAAATCTGTTCAATTGACAGTAATATGATAATGACATACATATCTTGACATCTTGGCACGATCCCCTATTCATAACGAGAAAGTGGTCCTCTGAATTTAATCTAAAAATATTCAAAATATGAATACTATTTTCTTACGTTTTTTGTGTTTATATTGTCAACAAACGCTTACATGGTAGCCGGTACAATTCATATTATCTTAATAGATAGAAACCTTTTTGTCTAAACTATTTTTTTAAATATATTTCTCTTTGGCTTCGTTGGTCACAAACAGACTGCCAGATATAAGTTTCAGCTCGGATTTTGATGAGATTTTCATTTCAAACTACTCAGCATTATAAAATTTTTTCCCATTACAACAAAATTGCCGCGAAAACTGATTGTAAAACAAATATTTGCACATCTGTTTACATACAAAGTGTTCTGATATTATGTTTTAATTTTTTTTCTGTACAAATAAACCCTCGCTCAACTCGTATTCATGGGCTTAAACGGTTTTATCTCATCGTACGTGCAACGCAGACATTGTGTTTATCATCGACAGCTTTCTGGTAATCCCTGGGTAGTCCGTTGCCTGTTTGTGGACCAATAACTTGTGTCAATAATGGAACTCTCGACTAATTAATAAAATTGTTTTGTTGAGGAACGGAATTTTACTGAACGATTTTGAGATTATGTTGTGTTTTCATTTCATCTATACTAATATTATAAAGTTGAAGAGTTTGTTTTTTTGTTTGTTTGTTTAAACGCGTTAATCTCTGAAACTACTGGTCCAATTTGAAAAATTCTTTCTGTGTTGGATTGCCCATTTATCGAGGAAGGCTTATAGTCTATAAAATATCACGGTACGATTAATAGGTGCCAAGCAGAGCGAGTGAAACCGCTCGAAAGTAGCTAGTTGTTAATAACTGTAGAAGGCAGTGACGACAAGGTAGAATAATAATCCTCCCGCTGGAGTCCCGACTGAGAACTACACATCTGACAGAGACGAGCAGTTATTTTCTGACAAAACAACTTTTTATAAAATGCAATCATCAACCCGCTTGCCTAGCGCGGAGATTCTTACCACACTAGGCAAGTACCGTCTTCGTGGAAGACCGCCTACGTGCATCCGGTGCCCAAAAAGGGCGATAGAACAGACCCGACGAATTACAGGCCTATCGCTATTACCTCCCTTCTTTCCAAGGTGATGGAGCGAGTAATCAACACCAAGCTCCTTCGATACCTAGAGGAGCACGACCTGCTCAGCGACCGTCAATACGGTTTTCGCCACAGTCGCTCGACTGGTGATCTTCTAGTGTATCTCACACATCGCTGGGCCTCGGCCATTGAAAGTCAAGGTGAGGCATTGGCAGTTAGCCTAGATATAGCGAAGGCGTTCGATAGGGTCTGGCACCGGAGTCTTCTGACGAAGTTGCCATCATACGGACTGCCCGAGGGATTGTGCAAATGGATTGGTAGCTTTTTGTCCGGCCGACGCATAAGAGCCGTCGTAGACGGTAGTTGCTCTGAAAGCATGGACATAAACGCTGGCGTCCCACAAGGCTCCGTACTTTCCCCGACGCTGTTTCTTCTGCATATCAATGATTTGCTGTCTGTTGAGGGTATTCATTGTTATGCTGATGATAGCACCGGGGACGCATTTTACACGGGCCGTGCAAACATCCCTCGTTCCGTTGTGGAAGAAAGCCGCGTAAAACTTGTGTCTCAAATCGAGAGTACCTTATGCCGAGTCTCCGATTGGGGTCGGGACCATATGGTCCGGTTCAACCCCTCCAAGACACAAGTTTGTGCGTTTACCGCTAAAAAAACCCCATTCGTTGTGGCCCCTAAATTCCAAGACACTACCCTTAACATCTCCAAAAGTATAGGTATCCTTGGTGTCGACATATCTAGTGACGTCCAGTTCCGTAGTCACTTAGAAGATAAGGCCAAGCTGGCATCTAAAAAACTCGGTGTACTGAACAGAGCGAAGCGGTACTTCACGCCGGGACAAAGACTGCTTTTATATAAATCGCAAGTTCGCCCCCATATGGAGTACTGCTCTCATCTCTGGGCAGGAGCGCCAGCATACCAGCTTGGACCTTTTGACGCGGTCCAAAGGAGAGCTGTCAGACTTGTTGACGATCCTATACTTACGAGCGGTATCGAGCACTTAAGTCTAAGGAGAGATTTTGCCTCCTTGTGCGTGTTCTACCGCTTGTATAATGGGTTATGTTCTGCAGAATTATTTGATATGATGCCCACGGCCACTTTTTATCATCGCACCGCTCGCCATCGGCAGGGGGTTCACGCTCACTCATTGGAGCCAAAATGGTCCCGTACAGTTCGGTTTCAGAGGAATTTTCTCCCACGGACCCTCCGATTGTGGAATGAGCTCCCTGCCGTGGTTTTCCCAGTGGGCTACAACATGAGGTTCTTCAAGAGGGCGGTGAATAGGTTTTTTAAGGGTCGGCAAGACGCATGTAATGCCCCAAGTGTTGCAGGCGTACATATGCCACGGTAATCGCTTACCATCAGGTGGGCCGTGTGCT